GGGCTATTTCTTCTTTTCTGATTTAAGATGTTCGAAGCTCATTTGGTACTTTATCTGTCCCAAACCTGCAATTGACCATTTTTGCAAACACCCTGGTTCTGTGGAATAGTAATTAGAAGGCAAACTCAGGAGGGTAGACGTGCTTATTATTACTAGGTTATTGATTCTAGGTCCTTTCAGAGGACAGGGACAGAGTTGGGGGCGAGAGGTGGGGAGGGGAGGGTGTTAGGGACAGGAAAACACACACACACACACACACACACACACACACACACACACACACGGTCATATAAATATCTCCAGTTCAAAACCAATAAAATAGCATTCCTCTTTATCTGCCTCCATGTTTTATCTCCCTTCTTCCGTAGGAAGCACCCTGATTTACAAGAACACCAACAGATTTGCTCATTTTTTAACATTTTCATCCTTAACGTCAGTCACCAAATCATCCTGCATCCTTCAGCAGAAGTCACACATAACAGATCAACAGGTCTCTAGACAGCAAACAGAGACAGTACAGACTATATACAAGCCCGACTCAAATTTGACGATTTAGCAATGGCTGCCGTTTGGTTTCTCTTCAGTACCAACAAAAGACAAAATTCGGAACAGATGATTGATGGCTTCGATTTTAACTGCGCAAAGACTACTTAAGCTGTTTTCTTTTTGAAATCTATCCTGTTTGATGTGTGGCGCATATTTCAGAATGATCCAGTGCGGTGGGGGAAGAGAGAGGGAAGATCTACATAACAGTGGTCATAAGCTAATGAGGTGGCAGTTGAGTGGCAGATGGGCGTATGAGTGTTCTTGGTACTATTTATTTTTTTAAACAATTTTTTTTGATGTTTATCTATTTTTGAGAGAGACAGAGTGCAAGCGGGGAGGGAAAGAGAGAGAAGGAGACACAATCTGCGGGAGGCTCCGAGCTCTGAGCTGTCAGCACAGAGCCTGATGCGGGGCTTGAACCCACGAACCGTGAGATCATGACCTGAGCCGAAGTCGGACGCTTAACCGACTGAGACACCCAGGCGCCCTTCTTTGTACTTTTTATACTCTCTGCTTTTATACTCTAAAGCATTCTAGAATAAAAATATTTTTTTTTGTTTTTGTTTATTTCATTTTAGAGAGAGGGAGAGAGGGTGAGAATGAGGAGAGGGACAGAGGGAGAGAGAGAGAGAATCTTAAATAGGCTCTATACTCAGTGCAGAATCCGGTGTGGTCAACCAACTGAGCCACCCAGGCATCCCTACAATAAAAAGATTTTTAAAAATGTATTCCTGTCAAATCAGAGTAAGTGGAAGCTTAAATGGCCAGCCTTTAACTTAAATAAGCCCTTGACTTAAATAAAAAGCAAGTAAGAGATATGTGGCTGTTTTACGTGTAAAGAGGCAGTGATGGGGACACTCTAGCTTACCTCTAGAAAACTGTCAAAGGAACTTACAGTTTTGGGCAACTTAAGGTCCCAATGTCTTAAAGGCTAGGCTACACAGCCAGATTATCCTCCAATAAGTAAAACATTACCAATTGCGGAAAAAGAATGACTTTCGTTCTGCCCATCATTCAGCCAAATGACTTTGTCATAAGAAGGAGATTCAACGATTAAAATATTCTTACATTTTGGATGTTTCATATTCCTCTTGGAATCGGTGGCTTAAATTCCCTTCACAGTCCAATGTGAAAACCCCCAGGCCACAGCATAACATGGCATCCACCAAAGCCAGACCTGCTGTGAGGCAAGGCACGATTTAATACAACAAGTGCTGTTATAAGTCAGCCAAAAACTTGCAAAATCCAATTATGCAAAACAGAAAAACAGGAAACATAATAAGGAACTGCAACCTTGAGGCAATTTTGGTATCTTTCTGAGGGAAAAAGAACATATGAAAGGCTTTCCAATTCCACCCACGTTGTTGCTAATGGCAAGATTTCATTCTTTTTGATCACTGAGTAATATTCCATTATGTATGGACACACACACACACACACACACACACACGCATGAACACCCTTTCTTTATCCATTCATCAGTTGATGGAACTAGAGTGTATTATGCTAAGTGAAAGAAGTTAGAAAGACAAACATCGTATGATTTCACTCATACGTAGAATTTGAGACACTCAGCAGATGAACATAGGGGAAGGGAAGGAAAAATAAAATGAAGACAGAGGGAGGCAAACCACAAGAGACTCTTAAATACACAGAACAAACTGAGGGTTGCTGGAGGGGAGGTGGGTGGGGGGATGGGCATTAAGGAGGGCACTTTTTGGGATGAGCCCTGGGTTCTACTCCTGAAATCATTATCACACTGTATGTTAACTAATTAGAATTTAAATAAATACATCATTAAAAGGAAAAGAAAGGCTTTCCAGGTAATAGGGAAGCTGAACTTTGAAAAGTCACTCTTGCTTATAAAAGCAAGAAAGTGAATGAAAAATGACACCAGGGATGATGAAACCTCTGTGTAGTAAAAGTGCTTCCCCTAACCGATTCGGTCAAAAGCAGGAAGGGGCTAGGGAAATAAAGAACTACAGCGACATGAGGGAAGAAGCAGGGAATTACCTGACTCTTCTCTCTTTTCTGGGGGTGGCAACATGACCAGGAGGGTTTCTACATTTGGCCACCAAATCGGCCAAGTGCTGCCCACCTGGGACTGGTTTTAACAGGCTCACACACTGACCACCCCACCCCCCCCCCCCCCCCAAAAAAAAAATCCCCTCTAAAAGCTACAGGGCCTGGGGACGTTTCCCAGACTGGAAGACAAAGAACCACCACCCTATTGTGCACATGTGGTAACAGCATTTCCATCAAGGTGATCAAGCTCCAAGATGGGAAATAATCTACAAATCACAGGCAAAAAAATCTGGATGAGCTTGAGAGATAAACAGGTCTCATTTAGAAATCTTTCCTGCACATCTTATCAAAGAAAAATACATGACGTAATGCATTTTCATCCAAGGACGCTTTGTTGTCAGTGCTCAAATTAGCATTAGAGGATGTGAAAACCTCCGTTTTCTGAAGCAGAACTTGTGCTCTCTTAGAAAAAAAAGATTCTCGGTGTACTGGGATACAGCACTTGTGGAAAATTTATAACTTAAAGCCTGGGAGAAGCATCCTGCTGTGGCCCTTATCTTACCACACTTGCTGCACCCCGGGGGCAGTCAGTCATTCCAACCTGGGCAGAGGAGACGGGTCTAGCTGGCTTCAGGGCAAGTCCATCCTGGCAGCAGGCCGGGCTGCCCTCTCTAACAGCCAAATTTCTAGACAGGCTATCTGCCTTTACTTTCAAAGAAAAAAAAAATCCCCCTTTGTTTGGTCCCAGCTTCATAGAGAACAGAAGGTTGCCAAGATTAGGATGCAGGTTGGCCTTCAAGATTCGTACATCAAAAATTCTGGATGTGAGCCATGTGAAGAAAACAGCTACATTAGGCGGTCTAAGGACGAAGTGCTGGAATTGTTAAAAATAATTTTACCTGTCTTTAAAAAAATGGGGTGCCCGGCTGGCTCAGTCAGTATGGCATGCGACGCTTGATCTCGGTCGGGATTGTGTTTGAGCGCCATGTTGGGTGTAGAGTTTTATTTTTTTTTTTATTTTTTATTTTTTTTTTATTTTTGGGACAGAGAGAGGCAGAGCATGAACGGGGGAGGGGCAGAGAGAGAGGGAGACACAGAATCGGAAACAGGCTCCAGGCTCCGAGCCATCAGCCCAGAGCCTGACGCGGGGCTCGAACTCCCGGACCGCGAGATCGTGACCTGGCTGAAGTCGGACGCTCAACCGACTGCGCCACCCAGGTGCCCCGGGTGTAGAGTTTTAAAAATAGAATCTTTACAAAAAAAATAATTTAACATGAGGTTTTCATAAATGTCTCATTTATTTCAGCCAAGATCTCAAAAACAATACACCAAATTACATCAGAAAGTATCAGCAAAAATTATCCCTATCTTAGGAGATCTGCCAGATTCCCAAGTGACTGGTTGTGAGTGTCGCTTTGTGTGCAGAACCACATCATTCTGCCGGGGGCGCTCCCTGGAAGTGAACGAGGACAAGTGAAGGACAAGGGAAGAATCCAACTCTAGGGTCTTCAGCTGCATTAAGATACGGTCACCACTCGGGTTAGGAAATTCAGAAAATCCAGAGATGAAGCTGTTAAAGAATGGTCTGAGGTATAGCCTGGCCATAGGCTTGGAATTCTAGAAAGATCTGATCTCTGAATTCCAAAGAATATTATTTGGTTAAGTAAGTGGACTAAAATGAAGGGCTACAGCAGACACTACTGGTTCGTCAGAAATGTAAAGCATCCACATGCCATGTCCTGACACATCCCAGATGTGGCCAGCTGGGAGCACACCAGGGTCATCTCTTCTTCCCAGACATCTTTGTTCTAAAAAGTCTCAAAGAAAGGACCAAATGGAGACCAAGCAGTGGCAAGGGTTTTAGAATTAGTTTTCTTCCATTGCCATTTACTCTAAAATGGATACAAATAGACTAACCCACAAATGGAAAATCATGAAAAACTGATAAACAGCTACAGATTTTTTTCCATAACTTTGTCACTGAAATATATGTCCCTTGCCTTAAAATAAGGCAAGAGTTTGAAGAAACCGTGACTTATATACCCATGACATCTAAAAATATGATCTGGAAAACAGTATCATTGAGATTGATCAGCAACCATTTCTGTCCGTGGCCTACCCTAGCTGCTCTATGTCACATACTATAATCTTTTGCTCTCTGCTGATGAACAATAAATGTGTATGGCCAGCCCCAATGTACCATATTTTTCCTGCTCATGGGAATAAAATTACATGCATTATATTTTACCTTCCCCCTGACCCTGATGTTCAATTTATAGGGAATTAGGAGTGTCCATGCAATGAAATAGGTGCAACACTTTGAGAGTTACAGAAGATTTGAGCCAAAGACTAGTTTGGAGGCCTTTACCTAATGTTTATCAGTCACATGGAGATGCTTTGAGGAGATTCATTTGAGGTCACAGACCTTTAGTTTTAAGCAATTTTAAGTAACCAATGATTAAAGTTCAACAAAACAAAAGGAGAACATCAACAGCTATGGCTGTCGACACGTTGCTAATCCCAGCAGCCAAAGGGGAATCCTACCAACTGTCAAAGAAAGGATGTCTCTGGTCTAGAGACAAGGCAAAGTGCCTTACTGTTTGTTGTTGGCTTTCTTGGAGGAATCCATCGGTGATTTCTCCCATTTAATGGGCCTCTGGTTTTAACTAGCAAAGCATCCCTTTTCCTAGAGGAGAAGACTAGTAATAAATACTTAAGTAGAGCATATTATCTAATATACCTTACTATCATCCCAGAAAGTCTCAGTAAATATAAAAGTGAACTACCTATTGGAATAAGTAGTGTCTGTCAATAGTGACTCAATAATGATTTATTAAATGATGAATACCTTAAACTTCACCTCTACTTGTTACTCTCTCATCTTAGACGCTCAGGACCTTGATTAAGCCCCACTGGTTACCAATTAGCCCCATGAATGACTAATTCAAACAGGACTAGCAAGAGAGTTCTCATCAGACTTATGACAAAGCGCTCAGGCATCCTAAATCTTTTATCTGGGCAATAACATTTACCGAGTTACCTTATAAACTCTATCCCATTGACTAGTTCTGGAAAAATCAGGGGAAAAAAAAGAGAGGGAGATCAGCACCCACAAAATACTGCATGCCACTTCCTTTGCAGCTATTCCTAGCAAGTAAATGGGAAAGCTTTCATTTTTCAACTCGTTTTTTCACTTTTCCTTGATCCTCTACTTTCTTAATGGCGGCTTGGATAGCCTCTTGGTCGCCCAGGAACTGGTGAGGCCCAACAGCATGCAGGTTCTCATCCAGTTCCAGGAGAATGGGCACTCCAGTGGGAAGAGTAATGTTGATAATGTCTTCGTCGGAGATACCTGTAGATTGGGAGAGGAAGGGACAAAGCATTAAAGACAACAAAGGAAGTAGTTCCGTTCGGTTGTTTCACTGCACATTTATTGAGTCCCATATTAGTGGCATGTCTGGAACCACTCCAGATACGGTAAGGGATTCTAGCTATAGTTCCTAGAAGTATAAAAACTTCTCAGAAATTTAAAAAAAAAAAAAAAAAAGCTTAGACAGAGATTCGCATCATATTAAATTTTAGGATAGTAGATACCCTTCAGGGCAACCTGTTGTTCCTTCATGTTTCCTATCTAAATCTTGTACATGAGCCATCATAGTAGCATAATAGCCAAAAAGTGGATACATCCTAAATGTCCATTAATTGATGAATGGATAAATTAACTATAGTAATTGCGGTATACCCATACAATGGAACATTATTTAGCAATAAAAAAAGAAGTGCTTAATACATGCTAAACATTGATGACCCCTGAAAACATTATGCTAATGAAAGAAGCCAGTCATAAAGGACGGCATGTTGTAGGATTCCATTTATATAGGAAAATCTAGTGTGAGAAAAATAGATTAGTGATTGCCTAGGGCTAGAGAGAATGAGGAAATGGGGAAGTGACAGTTAAGTATAGGGTTACTTTTGGGACTAATGAAAATGTTCCAAAATTGACTGTGGTGATAGATGGGCAATTCTGTACACATACTAAAAGCCACTGAACTGTACATTATGTAAATTATATCTCAAGAAAGCTGTTAAAAAATACTAAACAGATCCAGAGAAGTTAAATTAAATTTCTCAAATCACAAGACTGATAAGGCAATCACACTGCACCTGGTTTTCTTATTCCCAAATCCCAGGATTTCAACTCTGGTCATCCGACTTGTTCACGGCTACTTCCAGCGCAGTATAAGGAGAGAAGAGAATGTTTGCAATCATGTTCTGCCCTTTTGAAGGGCTGGGTACTAACTAAACAGTAGCACCTCGTGTTCCTCCGTCTTCAGGGCTGGTAAGGACATGAACAGATTCATCTGATCCCCTTGAAACAGCTAACACACTGGGATCATGATGCGCCAGGTTTAGGGGTTGTCGTCTGGGACCTTAGAAATGAGTTCTAGGTCTTTGGCAAGGGGCTGGAGAGCACATGGGACTCTCCTGTTTGGCCAAGGTCCCAGATCTAACCAGATCTTGACAGGTCCTCTCTTCAACAGCACCACACTCGAGCTCATGTCTATGGCTCAGATAACATCCCACTTTTGTGTGGGACCAAATCAAAGAGCCAACTAAACAAAGGCCACGAGTACTATCATATTTCACATACAAAGGAAGGAGAGCTCAACAAAAATAGAGACATTTCCAATAAACACCAAGTTGACATTCCACTTTAATGACTACTCAAATCATCCACACAGCAGACTAATTACTTACAAATATTTAAAATGCTTAGACTGGTTAATAATCAGTCAATGAGACTTAACAGACTGAAATTTTAAAATAGCAAATTAGGAAAAACCACAGTGAAGCTATTGCTCATTACTCGATTTTGGCATAAGCCATTCTTCATCCTGAGAAAGTTTTAAGCCAGCAGAACTCCTAAGGCTAGAATAATGCATCTGCACTGAATTAAGCCAAACTGAATCAATCCTGTATTACGCAATACTGTATTATAAATTCACTAACTGGAACATCATATGAAAGTTAAAATGAGTGAACAAACAGCACATCCCCTGTCTGATAACTGGCTTAGATTTTTGTTGTTGTTTTTTTGGCTCCAAGAACGTTTGAAGGGAAATATCAGAGTTCTCACCCTGCAACTGCCCTTCTCCGTCACCACTCCCTCCACTGCCACCCCTTCTTCAGCCCCCAACCATTGTCTTTAATTCTTGAATCTTCACGTAGGAGCATCTAGGAGTTAACTGTGGTCAATCCACATGGTTGGGCTATTTCGAGTAAGAAATAATGAAAGTGGGGCGCCTGGGTGGCGCAGTCGGTTAAGCGTCCGACTTCAGCCAGGTCACGATCTCGCGGTCCGTGAGTTCGAGCCCCGCGTCGGGCTCTGGGCTGATGGCTCGGAGCCTGGAGCCTGTTTCCGATTCTGTGTCTCCCTCTCTCTCTGCCCCTCCCCCATTCATGCTCTGTCTCTCTCTGTCCCCAAAATAAATAAACGTTGAAAAAAAAAAAAAAAGAAATAATGAAAGTTTATGGTAAGTCAAAGGGGGTAACTCAATGCCAGTATGGGTAGAAATTCAAACAACTTCATTTTCTGCATACAGGAATAGCTCTAGAAAGTCAAATCTGCACCTATGAGCCCTCTCCACCAAGTCATTATAGCAGGAACAGGAGCCACAGCCAGTTATTGAGATCACTGTACATTATTTTATTTATTTTTTAAATGTTTATTTATTTTTGAGAGAGAGACAGAATTGGAGCGGAGGAGGGGCAGAGAGGGAGACACAGAATCAGAAGCGGCCTCCAGGCCCTGAGCTGTCAGCACAGAGCCCGAGGCAGGGCTCGAACCCACGAACCGTGAGATCATGACCTGAAGCTGAAGTCGGACGCTTAACCGACTGAGCCACCCAGGTGCCCCGAGATCACTGTACATTATTAAGTATATTAATACTTACGTTAATATGTATATACATTAATTAAGTATATTAAGATACACTTACAGCATTCACACTTGGCCTTCTATTAGAGGTGGCTGTGCAAATGCTCGCTTCGCCAACCAGGATTATAAACGCTTTGAGAAGAGGGACCATGTCTCATCCATCCCTGTGTCACACATGCTCTCAGACCAGTGCCTTACCCCCTGCGAGAACTCAGTAATATTTGTTCAACTGTAAAGAACCTTCTATTATATGCATTGGCTGCCAGGATCCAGAAACTGTTCAGCTGTATGATCCACTTTTACAACTGTATATATTGTATGAATCTACTTCTTATATACAAATACAAGCGATAAGGAACAGAACATTAGCTACAAACTCTAACTTATAAAGTCCATACATGAAAGCACTCTGAAGACTTTGCCAGAGTTCCAGTATCGGCCGAATTTCAGAAAGAGATCAAAATGGGGACACAGCTCCTCAAAAGCCAGGATTTTGCGTGTCCAATTCTAGGGGCTATATCCTGTGCCAAGAACAGCACCTGATTTGACAGGCCCTCAGCACACAGCTGAAATGAATAAACCTGAACTCTCTGGGCTTTCTAATTAAATCTATTCTTTTACTCTTGAAACCTTGATTAAAGACTGTGTTTCCTTTATAACCTTACCAGAGAGACAGAGACAGAGAGAGAGAGAGAGAGAGAGAGAGAGAGAGAGAGAGAGAGAGAAGGCACTTAGGCTTGAATACAAGGTATTTAGTGCTAATAAACAATTCAAATTAAATTTGTCTATATATTTTCTTTGATTTCCTCCAAAGGTTTGCTCATCTCGGGCAACAGGAGAAAAGATGGCCAGGGAGACAGATTTGTCACAGGATGAAAGCAAACCCCAAGTCTATAGTGTATAGTATAGTTTAAAAGTAAAAGTTTTCCTACATCAATTAAACTTTGAATAAGAGAAAGCCTGACCATACCACCAGACAAGCATTTGCTTTACAGGAGAGAGGTCTGAATTTGCAGCTTCCGAAAATATCACGCTAAAATGCCAAAGGTGAAGCACTCGTCAGCCCCGCCGCCACAGCTGGCCCCGGCTGACCTGCCCTCCCCGGCTCTCTAATTTTGCCTCAAGGCTTCCTTGCCTTGCTATGTGTGCAGCTGCACCCAATTCTTCAGGGACCAAGCCTGTCGTTCATGAGTCTCCTGCATGCCACTCTGATTCCAAACTTGAAACTGCCTAGTCCTGTGCTTGAACCCAGACTAAACAATCCACTTCCGCTGGCAAGGCGCAGACTACATCCAACGCTTCAGTTCAGGCCCTGGATTTTCCTTCAGTGTGGGCCAGCAGCAAACAAACAGGAAGTGACTATGCCAACCACAGAGAAAGAAACAAACGCCTGTCTGGAGCGCTACAGAACAAGATGCTTTTAGATACTAAGCCTGTGTTAGGAGCTTTCGCGGTGGTGCTCTGTGACAAGTGTGTCTGAACCAGTCAGCGCAGGGCCCTGCTTTTGCCTGGACTTATTAGCACAGCACAGGCAATCCTCTACGCTGCTAGAAACAGGTAAAGCAGTTCCTTAGGTAGGAATTTTCTTACTGTATCGTATCTCATAGGTCTGTCTGCAGTCCTTCTTCTGAAAGTGTCAAGGACTACTTTCCAGTTAAAAGTAATGCAATCTCCCAATTACCTACAATTTAAAAGCAGAGATGTTAAATAAGTAATCGACATGGTAGAAGCTGTCCTGATCAGGCAAGAAGCGTATCCTAGGCCCTGACATGGGTTCCTGTGTTTGCAATTCTTGTACAAGAGTGCTGCCTAGTTCCAAATCAGTAACACTTGCCTTGCTGTTCTTTTCATGCTCTTGCATTGACCTACTCCTTGCCTAGGTGGTTGTGAGAAGAAAAAAAGGACAGACAGAAGACCCAAGGACGACTAGAGAATTCAGTGTCAAGTGAGCAGAAATAGTTCTGGGGCAGGAAAACCTTTCCTAGACAAGCTCACAACCTCGAAGGACAAAGCTTCTTGGTCCAACAGCTTCTAGGTCACTTGCGAAGACCGGCTGCGCCAGCGATTCCCTGTGATGTCCATGGTTTGGGTGCTGCGTAAAGTCAGCACTACCTGCTCCCAGTCTTGAGAGAGCATACCGGGGCCCTCCGGGTTAGTTTTCAAAGGCACAATTAGGCGTATGTAGCAACCTTCATTTAATTAATTCTACTAGTTGACAAACTAATCGAGTCTTTATCTGAGGCAACAAAAGCCATGGTCCCCATTAGGGAAATGGTCATTTCACTGGATGAAAGCTAGACTTTTTACACCGAACTATAATTCACATGCAGTAAAATTTACCGGTTTTAGTGTACAGAATAGCTCTAATGAACCCCCCAAAATTTCCTTATGCCCCCCTGCATCCTACCTTTTCT